AATTATAGTTCTTATTATATAGGTAACGTTTTCCATCAAAACAAATGTCATGAATGATTTCCAGTTTTAAAAGCTGTAGGTTTGACTGCTTCAAATCTCTGTCCACTTTTTGAATGAGAACTTATTTTGTGCCTGACGTTCCCACTCACTGATAATGTTTACCTTCTGGGCATTTATTCCAAAGTGGGACCTACTGAGTACCTTTGGTGTCTGGCCATAAAGTCATTTGCTCAGCTGACATTTGAGTGATGTCTTCTTCACATGGAAATATAATAAAAATAAAAATCTAGTTTAGTACTGTATTATTATTTTCCTATAGCTAAAGCACAGCTGTCCTGTGTTTTTTATCCAGCATCCTTTTCCTGTGACTTCATGCTCTGAAAACTGCCTTTCCTTCCTTCTGTGCCTTTAAATACAATTTTCAGTTCTGCACAAGTGAAACATTAAAAATTGCAATGCAGATTTACATAACTTGTCTTTATGATGTAGTTTGTGTGTCATATGTTGCCCACCGGTGTGACTGTTACTTTAGGGGAGTGGGGTGCTAGTGTATGACAATATAGTCCTAATGCTGAGTGTTATCAACACCATTACCCATGTCTCACACAATTCTCTTCACGGCTTCCTCCTGCTCTTCATGGCCTTCTTCTGTAGACCATTCCAGTTCTTGCCAATGTTTCCTCAAAGCTTTATTTGTAATCATTTCTTCATTTTGTAACATCAGGTTATTTTGGGTCTGCTTGGTCTGCCCTGGCTGCCTCTTTGATCTTCCTTACATATGGCAATAGTAATTAGTATTTTATTATGTAATTGATCTAGTCACCCACAGTGTATGGATGCCAGAGGCATAAGTAGAGCCAAAAGGAGACTGACTGATGGGTTCCTGAGATGCTGACCAGAGTGAGACTCTGCTCCCTGAGATCTGACAGATGAACAGGGAGCAGAATCAAGTTGGTCAAAGTCTGGAATGAAATGGCATGTCACCAACAAAGTTGATCTTTGAATCCAAGGCAGAGCCTGTGTTGTGTGTATATACTGCCTTTATCTGGGTGGACCCTTTGCTGAAGTCTGAGAGCTTGCTAGTATTCTGCCTCTTTGGGAAAGGTTGGGGGAGATGTAGCTCAGGAGTAGAGTGCTTGCCAGGACATCTGCAAAGTCCTGGGTTTAATTCCCAGTACTACAAAAACAAATCATAATGATGTGAGCAAGTAACAAAAGCACCTGTGTGTCAGAATGAGTGCAGTTTGGTGGGATGAAATTGCACTATCAGACAACATGCCCAGGGGAATCCTAGGCTCTTAATATCCAGGATAGTTTCCAGGGAAGAGGACTTCCTGAAGAGTTGGACTAGAGATGAAGAGAAAGATACCCCCATGTGTTCTGAAAACATGAAACTAGGACTGCATATACCTGGTAGGTGGGTAACTTTGTATCTTTGGATCAGAGCTCCCTGTGACTCATATAAGATATAGTAGCCCCTGCCATCCTGGTTTTGCTTTCTGACCATGTTGCAAAAATATTGATATTTGTCCTAAGTCTTTCAAGAGACACTATAATTTTATTATAGCATATTATAATTCTTTTATTATTTTTATCCTCCTATTGTGCTTAATTTATAAGCTAAACATTATCATAGGTAGGTAGGTAGGTATGTATAGGAAAAAACAATGTAATAGGGTTCAGTGACTAGTGGTCTAAGCAGATGTCTGGGGCATCTTAGGAAGAGGTAGCCTCAAGTACGAAGGCTTTATTGTGGGGGCCAAGGGACCAGTCTGTGTGCTGGAGGTGTGTAGGAGATACAGTCAGGAGGGAGGGCAGATTTAGTAGGTCATTGTAATAATTCAGGCTTTTGGTGTGGTGGAAACCATTGAAGGTTTGGCACCAAGAAGTGACATGATCTGCCTTAATTTAACAGGGTCACTCTGGCTTCTTTGTTAGGAGAAAGTATAGAAGCAGGGAACTAGTGGGTAGGGGCTCCCATTGCTTTCCCAGCAAGAAGTCCTGTAGAGACTGAAGTGGTAGTTAGGGAGGCCAGCCAGACGGTGTCCTGGATTTGGTAGTGAGCCTCTGGAAGGGGCTGGACTGTTTCCAGCAGTGTCTATGTCTCTGTGTCTCTCGCTGTCTCCCTATCTCTTGGGGATAGAATCCAGTAGCACTCCACCACTGAGCTACACCCTCAGGGCTTTCTTCATTTTATTTTGGAGAGGGGGGGGGTTTGCTAAGTTGCCTAGAACTTGTGATCCTCCTCCCCAGCCTCCCGAATACCTGGAGTTTCAGGTGTCTGCCACCACACCTGGCTCAATGTCCTTTCTGTTAAGCTGCTTAAATCTCTCTTTTCCTAATTGCAAACAGTGGAGTTGAGTTCCTACTTCCTTTTTGTTGTACTAGATTTTCTGTCTTCCAAGACTTGCTTGTAGAGGGCTTGGTCTCTATTCTTGGCAGTAGTAAGAATAACTGGAACACTTGGCCATTTGAACATACCTCAGCCACCCACAAGCTGAGACCAAGTCTCTTCCTTTCTGGTTTGATCATTGGTGGGGTCTTACTCCTTTGAGCAACCTGAACATATGATTCATTCATTTCGTTAGTATTTTGTTGAGCTTGCTATGTGCTGGGAAATAGAAAGTAAATGGGAGATCAAAATTCCTGCCGTTGGTGTTTTATGTTGAATATGATAAATGTTCAGAAGAAACAATCAAGTACAGGAGGGGACCTGGAAGCCTGGAGCAAGGTGGCGAGCAGTAATAATATTTGGGGGAACAGCATTCCAACAGCAGGTTTAGCACATGTGCAGCATGGCATGTCAGGAGCAGCACCGGGACTGGCATGGCTAGGGTGGAATGGACCAGGGTCTGAGCATAGGGGTGAGGTCAGAGAGGCATGTGGGAGACTTGTAGATCACACTAAATGGGCTGAGTGAAATTCACCCACCAGAAAGTCTCATAAAGGGTACTGGATACTGGTCCTTTGGAATTAGCTCCCTTTCAGTCCTGTTAAAGCCTGAGTCATAAGAAATGAATCATCAATTTCTCTGTGGTAGTTGAAACCCTCTAGTGGACTCAGTCCTGTAAAGTCACAGAGAGGGACAAGAAAAGGATTTGCAAATGAGGAAACTTCAGGGCATAGGTGTGTTCTCTAAGTCCAAGGTTTCAGGTACTAGGACCAAGTATATGACCCAGGTTTATAGTACCTAAGAGCCTGTTCAGGGGCAGCTTTTGTCCTCTTTCCTCCCTCCCCTGGGCGCTCTGTATTCTAAGGGCTTCCTGGCAGGCATTTATCAGGATCTCTGTGGGGTCTGGGGTGCTCTAACAGGATTTGCCAAGCACTAAGAGCAAAGCTATCTTGGTGCTACTCCACCTTGGCCCTTCTGGTGTCCCTGGGATGGGGTAAGCGAGTTCAGTGTCACTAGCATGAATGTTGAGGAAGGGAGAAGTGAGAATGGGCATTCGTGGTAAGGTGTGGGGGGGCCACAGATGATCAGAAGATGCTTGGACCTCACAGGCTGGAATCCAGGGCCTCCAAACAGCTACGGATGGTAGAGTGCTTCTTTTGGGGGCAACACATGTTCACATCAATACTGGGATAAACAAATTGGTTGCCTTTTGAATTTCAGAAGTTCCTAGCTAGCCTAGAGAGAGCCATGGGCTAGTCTCCTCCAGATTTTGATCATCCAGGCCCATGTGTGTTTTTCTCACAGCTTAAAGCCTGTGGAAGGGTTGGGGATATAGCCCAGTTGGTAGAATGCTTGCTCGCATGCACAAGGCCCTGGGTTTGATCCCCAGCACCCCCGCCACACACACACACACACAGCCCATGGAAGGCAACAGCCAGGTAGGTCTTTTTTTTTTTTTTTTTTTTTTTTTTTTAAAGAGAGAGTGAGAGAGGAGAGAGAGAATTTTTAATATTTATTTTTTAGTTCTCGGCGGACACAACATCTTTGTTGGTATGTGGTGCTGAGGATCGAACCTGGGCTGCACGCATGCCAGGCGAGCGCGCTACCGCTTGAGCCACATCCCCAGCCCAGCCAGGTAGGTCTTATATCTTCCACTCTAAGCTCCTACCCCAGGGCTGCACATATCAGGCACCAAAACTCCAGAGGACTCCCAGTTGCCAGGCCCTGACAGGACACTGGGTGTGCTATGTTTGGATAAATATAACATGACTGAGTCCTTGCCACAGATATCCAAATGTTCAGAAGGGGTTTGCCCAAAGCCACACAGCAAATTATCATCTGCCTGCCCTTCCCTAGCTCTTCCCCACAGATGTTCCTCATATAGGCCATGCTGTCTCCATGCTCACAATTCAGGATGTGCCCCACATCCCTCTCCCCTTCCCTAGCCCCTGGCAACTCTGCCCAGGTGGTGGAAGCAGTGCCAACCTCCATCCCCATCCACAAGAAATTGAGCCCATGTCTGGGGATGTAGCTAAATGGTAGAGTGTTTGCCTAGCCTGGGTTTGATCTTCCACACTGCAAAAGAAAAAGGAAAAGAAAGAAAAATTGAGACCAACAACTCATGTTCTGGTTTGTAACTAAGTTGGGGGTTTTTATTTACAGAAAGGCCATGGTGGATACTGGGAAAAGGGGGGTAGAAGAGAGTAATGGCAAAAAGAAAAGGGAGATGGAGTTTAAATACTCAGGTGAGAAGCAGGAAGGAAGTGGGGCTGGCTTAAGGATGCCCACCTCAGAGAAGTCACCCCCAGCAGTCATCCAGTGAGTCCATAGAATAAGAATGGGATCAGGAACCAAGAGGGACCTCAGCCTACCTGTCCCAAGGACAAGATGGCCAGTGGAGAATGGAACAGATAAAGGAGACATTTGGTAACATCCAAAATCGTGCTCCAGAAGGAAAGCCATCCTGTCCATACTGTTCCCTTTGGAGTGTCCACTCTCTGGTGACAGTTGACCTGTCAGCTACCTTTTCACTCTGATGCTCTCTCTTCCTTTTCCCCATGTTTTAGAACTTCTGTCCTTAGGACCACTGAGTCCCAGACAGAAGGTCCTGGGAAAGCTAGTTTCCTGGGCTGGAGTGTCTGTCCACTTCAAGGGGACCCAGGATGCCTGTGGGCTGTGTTCTGTGCTGCTGTTCATGGCCCCTTGATGGATCCCGGCTCAGTGAGTCGGGCTGAGGCATAGGCTGAAGCCCCCAGGCAGGCTGCAGGCTCACAGAAACCTGGCAGTCCCACAGGGCCTGGCAGGCCAGGTCGGCCTGCTTCTCCTGGAGCCCCTGGGGACCCTCTGTCTCCATCCTTGCCGTTGATTGCCTGCCCAGGCCGGCCAGGGAGTCCTATAAAAGAGTCATGTCATTAGGGCCTTCTCCTGACTCAACTTAGAATTCAGAAGTGGAGAAATAGTTCAGATGGGGAAATGAGGCCAGGGATACCACAGGAAGAAGGGACTCTTCGAAGACAGTGATTCTGAGATTGTCTACTATGCCCAGTTCCCAGTCAGTGAATCTTGGGAACACATGCCTGTCCTTCCCCTTCATGAAGAAACTACATCTCAGGAAGTCCTCAGAGTGCCATTCCACTTCCCAGTCAGCCCCCACCCAGGGACTCCTGGGTGCTCCAAGTTGGATGAGTGTGAAGCATCCATGGAAGAAACCCAAGTGTCTGTGAGTCATTAATCCCCAAGTTCAGGAACAATTGTAGCCAAGCAGGGCCAAGTTCTTACCTGGGATCCCTGGGGGCCCAGGCATCCCAGGGTGCCCACGCCCTACTTCTCCTTGGTCACCCTTCTCTCCACGCTTTCCTGCAGACAAAAAAAGGGGTCTTAGTTTTTCAAAATTTGGAAAATGTTTTTCCCACCTGGTTTGATATTTAATTCATGTTTTACATACAGCAATTATTCCAATTTTGTGCCAGTTCAAAATAGGGGAAAGCTGGAAATGACCACCTAGGGCTGGTTAAATAAAGAGAGGTCCAGACAAAGGATGGAAGACTATGCATCTGATAAAGTTACTTACAGGAAAACATGCAATGACAATATCTAGCATTTACCAAGCAGTAAACTAAGAACAACTCTAAATTACTGCTAAAGGTAATCCCCACTAAACACTATGAGGTCAGTACTATTAACATGTCCATTTCACAAATGATAAACCTTAGGCCCAGAGAAATTAATGGGTAACTTGTTCAGGGTACATAGTGAGCAAGTGGCAGAGTCTGGATTCTATCTGCAGAGACATGGAAAGATGATGTTTATGGGGTTACCAGTAAATAAATAACCTTCCCAAAGCTATAAACAGTGCATTGTTTTCCATCAGTGTGGTTTGGGGGAAGAGCCCAGGGGTGTCTACTCCACAGTCTGACTGAGTTAGGGGTGGGGAACAGGAGGTTGAACTTCAGCCAGCCTTGGCCAAATTCCCACTGCCCAGCCCACACTCCCTTCAGAGAACAGCACTCACCCTTGGGCCCAGTATTGCCAATCTGACCCACAGCTCCCACGAGTCCTGGAATTCCTCGAGGGCCAGGGTGCCCATTCGGGCCCTGCTTGCCTGGGTATCCAGGCGGGCCAGGTGGTCCTGGAGGACCCATCATCCCAACTGAGCCAAGGGCTTCCCGCTTGGCACTCACAGCCACCTCTGCCAGTTGCTCTGGAGGGAGAGAGGGGAAAGAGGTCTATGAGATGGAAGGCAGAGCATCCTGATGGCCCCTGGCCTCTAGGTCTACAAATTGAAAAGTCCCACTTTTAAGTTCCCTTTTCTTAAGGCCCTGTCCAGAGTGATATATCCAGATTTCCTGCAGCTCCTTGGAGGTAGAACTGGAATGAGCACTTGGGACTCCAGATCTCTGGCAAGACCACATGGAGAGGCTCCTGAAGGATGCCCAAGCCCTGAAATGGGCTATGGGGAGGGGTTATCCCCTCCTCTCACCTTGCATCATCTTCAGCACCACATCTTCGATGTGCTGGTCACTAGCAGCTCGGCCCTGAAGGCAGAGAAAGTCTTTCAGGAAGAAGCCTCTGGTTGCCACGATGCCCCTCCTGCAGCTTCTGACCCCCTCCAGATCCCTTATCTTCCCAGAAAGGATTTTTGTTTCTGACTGAAACCCCTTCTGCTTCCTTCCCCAGCATCCTTACCCCATGAGCCAGCCTCAGGGAAGCCAGCGGGCCTCTGGGAACTTCCAGACTTTGGGGGATTAGAGATCTAACTAGCAGAACCCCTCTGCCCTGGGGGCCAACTTACCGCCACGCCCTGTCTCCCTGGCAGTCCTGGCACGCCTCGGTCTCCAGCCTGTCCTCGAGGGCCAGGCAGCCCTGGGTAACCCTGCACCCCTGGGGCGCCAGCATCCCCGCTGGGGCCAGGGTAGCCCTGCTCTCCACGGACTCCTGGCTGCAGGGGGCGGGGCAGAGACAGCGCCCGGTGAGACTGCGCCAGGCTAGGTTAGGGGCGGGGAGCGGAGGGGATGGGAAGGTCGGGAGGAGGAGGTCCCAGGGCAGCCCAGGGAAGTGCGGTAACCTCAGGGAAGGGAGAGTGTGACTCACCTGTCCCTTGGGCCCCGGCTCACCAGATTCGCCCTGCACGTACAGGGAGCACAGTCATCAGGCGGTGGGTACTCTGGGGTACAAAAGCCCTCGCTTCCCGCCACCCCCGCACTACCCACTCACCTTCTCGCCTTTCTCCCCCGGGAGGCCGGCCACCCCCGGGTCTCCCTGCAGAGAAAGAGTCTCGGGTCAGGTGCAGTGGGGATGTGAAGTGGGGCGGCGCCACCAAGCCTAGGGTAGACAACCTGATGCCCCAAGCTCGGGACCCCACGAAGACTGAACGGGGCACTGGGACTCACCACTCCGCCGCGGGGCCCGGGCTTTCCTGGGGAGCCCTAGAGAAAGCAAGACGAAGGGCTTGGGGAATCTCCCCTCCAGGGAGGGGAGGGGCCACAGGGTCCCCCCAGGATCCCAAGTCCTGGGCCCGCTGTTGGAGCGCTTAAGATCTAACTAAGCTCCCCCAGCGCCCCTCCCCCAGCCCCCTCCCCCAGTTTTGGGGCTGCATTCCCAGAAATTTTCCAGCCCCATTTGGTGCACCTTATCTCCCTTGATGCCTGGCAAGCCTTGGGGTCCTGGGATTCCAGGGGGTCCCTGCTCTCCCTTGGGGCCCTGAGGAGAAAAGAAAAGAGAGTAGTAAATAAACTGAAGTGCCCAGATATGCCCCCAGCAGCCCCCTTTAGTTGGCTATGCTCACCTGTCGTCCTTGGGGACCTGGCTGTCCCACTGGCCCCCTTTCACCCTGGTCACCCTGAAATGGAAAGAGAAGGTCATGCCCTGGCTTTCTGCAGGGGTAGCCACCCCCTGCCAGGCCCCAGACCTTGGCAGGGTCAACTGTCCTCCATTCCTGCTGTCACCAGCAGGGGGTCCTTTGCTCCATTTCACAGACCAGCAAATTGAGGTGTTGCCAGAGAGAGGACCCAGATCCTGAATCTACTAGTGCCAGCTGCTGCAAGTACTCCAGGGGAGGGACCACTGCACCAGACACTTACCTTCTGTCCCACGATGCCCCGAGGACCAATTTCTCCTCTGGGTCCTGGCTCTCCCTGAAGGAAGGAGAAATTGGGGATACACAGTAGGCCTAATAGGACCTATGGGTCACCCCTCCCCACCCATAGATCTCAGCTAATTAGCTTCAATTAGGAAATGGGCTCAGAAAGGAGAAAGGTGGTTAGTGGGTCAGGACAGACACCCAACTAACCCAGAGTGCTCCTCAGATTGGGGCTCCATCCCATGACCTCACTCTGGCCCCACTGAGTGCAAAGCCCTCAGACCTAGAAGAGCCAAAGGCCCCTGTGTCAGTGGATAGGGCACTTACCTCCTTTCCAGGGGGACCAGAAAATCCAGGGAGACCCTGCTGGCCAGGCTCACCCTGCAGGAAAACAATTTTCAGGTTACTCTGGATGACCCAGTTGGCCCTTGGCCTCAGCCCAATGAACACTGAATACAGTCTGCAACCAAATGTATAGGGGAGGGGGAGAGGATGTTCTTGGACAAGTTCTCTGTGTTTGTTTTTCCTCTAGATTTAAAGCCATGCCATCCAGTCTCCACTAAGGCAGGCCAAGGGTGAGCTGGTAGTGGGAGAGCAAGGCGAGAGATAATTTGCATTCAGGCTGATTCAAGAGCCTTGGTTGACCTTGCAGTCATTAAGCCATGCCCATTCCCTGCCCTCCAGCTCCCTTGCTCACGTGGAACCAATTCTGCTCCCAGCTGGGGGTCACCTTACCTTATCTCCAGGACCTCCTTTTGTCCCTGGCTGGCCCGGCACACCCTGCCAAGAGAAATAGACATCAGTTTCTACCCTGGCACAAGGGAACCCCAAGTACCTGTTGCTTTGCTTCCCATCCCGAATCCAGATTTCCTCTGTTCCAGGGAGGGAGCTGAACAGAAAACCCAGGCGTGGAGTCAAAAACTTGACTGTATTTTCCACCCCTGCCCTGAGGCCTGGTGGGAGAAGGAAAGGGTTACAGAGACTGAATTGCCTACCAGGGCCTGTGTCCAGGGGGAAAAGATGAGCACCTTTGTATGTATCTAGGCCCACAGTGAGTGCCTGCAGGCACAGGCCGGACCCACAAGAAGTGGTAAGGAGGCAAGACGTGGTGATACAGCAAGAAACCAGGTGTAGGGGCTAGGGATGTGGCTCAGTGGTAGAGTGCTTGCCTAGCATATGTGAGGCACTGGGTTTGATTCTCAGCACCATAAACAAATAAATAAAATAAAGGTAATATGTCCATCTACAACTAAAAAAAATTTTTTTTTTTAATGAGAGACCAGGTGAGATTTCAATCTCATCAGCCACTCATGCCCTCATAGGGAGGTGGGCGACAGAGTGCTTGACTTCCCGGTCTGAGGAGAAGCAACTTGTCCACAGGCAACCCCTGTGGCTCTACCTGATACTTACTGCTAAGCCCTGGTGGCCTGGGCTTCCTGGTCGTCCTGCCTGTCCTACGTGGCCCTGAAGAGACAAGGAATCAGAAGCACAAATTAGAACTGCAGCTAAGGGTCCATGGCTTCCACCCCAGTGCAGGTAGGGAAACAGATCAGAGGCAAGAAGAGATGTTCCAGAGACACTACAGAGGATTCCCAACTCCAAGGCCCCCAGGATCATGTGAGGGGACTCAAAGCCCAGCAGTTCCCACTCTTACCTTCATACCAGGTATGCCTGGGGTTCCATCCTTGCCATCGATGCCTGGGGGGCCCTGCTCAGGAGGACAGTTCAAGGGAGACTCACAATGGGAATATTCCTGGAGTCAGACCACCCACACATGACCCTCTGTGGCAGCTGCAATATGCAGGTAGGAAAGGGGTCTGCCCATCTCAGGAAACCTTACTAGCCAACTGGGGGAGGGGAGCTGAAGTGGGAAACTCCACAGTCCCTCCTTCATGTGGATGAGTACTCCACATGGAACAAGTTCCCCAGGATCTCTCCTATAGCATCACCCCTATTTATGATTGAAGAAACTAAGGCACAGAAAAGGAGAACTTCCCAGATTTCAGAGCCAGCCTGCATGCAGCAGAGTTCGAATTCAGGCTCTTCTTCCAGGGGTTTAGACAAACTGACCCAACCCTGTCCACATGGGTCAGGGACTGGGTCTCTGGCACTTACAGTTGCTCCCTTTGGGCCTGTTATCCCTTGGGGTCCTGGAGCACCTTGGCTACCCTGCAAAGTAAATAGAGATCACATCACCTTCAGGATATGGAGCCCCTGCCTAGCTGCACAGAGAGGGGTACAGCTGAGATCTGTAGCCTCTGGGTTCCAGAGTACCTGTGGCACAGACCATCCTGTGTTCCTCTGAAGGAGAGGAACTTAGAACCAGGAGGAGGGTGTAGAGGTCAGTGCCAAGCAATGGGGCTAGACTGGGTTCGGCTCTGCAGGAATAGGGATTACTAAGTGATGTTAAAGAATAGTTGTTTGTCAGACACAGTGAGGCATGCCTGTAATCCCAGCAATTTAGGAGGATTTCAAGTTCCAATTTAGGGAAGCCCTAGGGTTAGAGTTAAAGTTTAAAAGGGGGATGAAGGTTTAGTTCAGTGGTCAAGCACCCCTGAGTTTAATCCCCAGTAGTAGGAGAAGAATATTTCTTTATTTTGTTAGTTATAATAATGATGTGGTTCTGTGAGAAAACGTTCTTATTTTTAGAGATACATTCTGAAGTGTTTAGGAGTGAAATGACACAATGCCAAGGATTTGCTTGAGAACCTCAGAGCAAAACAATAAATAACAAATGAAGGAAGAAGGGGAAGGGGGACAGATGAAGTGTGTATGGCAAAATGTCAAAAACTGTGGAACCCACGAGACTGCCATATGGGAGTCATTATAACATTCTCTCTACTTTTATGCATATTTTAAAATTTGCATTAAAAATAAAATAATAATGAAATAGCTAACTGTGCTTTTTGTTCAAATTTTCTGTAAACTTAAAACTGCTCAGAAAAAGTCTACTAATTAAAAAGAAGAAGAGTGAGGAGAACCAGCATCCAACCAAATCCCATTAGCCCCATGGCTGATTTGCTGGAATTTCATTGTCTGGCCCCAGTGACCCTGGGACTGGATCCCATGGCTTCTCCTAAAATCTGAATTTGGGCCAACTGGGCTCTTGGCACAGATGGTCTGAACCATCCCCACACAGTCGCACACACACACATACATACTCGTGTGTGTGTGTGTGTGTGTGTGTGTGTGTGTGTGTGAATGTGTGAGTGTGTGTATACATACACCAGCCTTGAGGGGAATAGAGTTCTGCCCAGTAGTCTCCAGGGGCACTGGCTAGACAATGGGTGCCTGAGAACTTACCACATCACCCTTCTCCCCAGCTCGACCTGGTGGCCCTCTTGGACCTTCCTCACCCTGGCAATAAGGAACAACAATATAGGTCACATGGGTTCAAGGGGAGCAGTACCCACTCTGTAGCCCTAAGGGTTCCAGCCTGGCTCCAGGGGACACGAGCAGTCTTACCGGTGACCCAGGAGCACCAATGGAGCCCACCATGCCTTTATACCCACGAAGACCCTGGGGAGAGAAAAGGGTTGAGGTCAGTCCTGGCTGGACCTCAGAGGGCTGGTCATAGCAGCTCTTGCAGGACACACCTAGATTTACTTACCGTTTCTCCCTTAGGTCCTGCCATTCCTGGGTAGCCCCTAATGCCCTGGGGACCCTGTCAAAGCAAAAATTATAAAAAGGCAATTACAAGGCCCATTTCATGATATCTTTTTGGACCCCCCTAGCCCTTTTCACAATGCCCCTTTGAAGTAGGCAACATAGTCCCTATCTTGTAGAAGGGAAATCTCATTTGAAGACTCAGAAATGGAGAGGGACTGACCACGGCCACTTGGCCACTTGAAGGACAATGGCAGAACCTGGACTTCAGCTAGGCCTTCCAGCTGAGAGCTTTGGTTCCTGTCCCCTAATTCCTGAAAGCCTCAGTCTCCTTCTTCCTACTCAGAAATACTCCCAACTGGACACAGGTCTATTTTTTTTTTTTTTTTGCAGGGGGCAGGGGGGTTACCAGGGATTGAACTCAGGGGCACTCAACCACTAAGCCACATCCCAGCCCTATTTTGTATTTTATTTAGAGACAAGGTCTCACTGAGTTGCTTAGTCCCTTGCCATTTCTGAGGGTGGCTTTGAATTTGTGATCCTCCTGCCTCAGCCTCCCGAGCCTCTAGAATTACAGGTATGTGCTCGGCTGGACACAGGCCTCTTATAAACTAGAGGCCTGAGCAGGGTAATGACCCCATCAAGGGCTCCCAGGAAGAAAGAGGCCACTGGGGAAAGGTGTTTCTTACCGGCGGTCCAGGGATGCCTTGCTCTCCAGAGGCACCCACATCTCCCTTGGGACCCTAAAAAACAAAGATGAATTATCAGACAGGCAGGCAGGTAAAGAGACAAATATAGAGACAAGCAAAGATACCAGTCACCTTTCCTAGCACAGGCATATAGGAAGGACCTTTAGACCATGCAGTTCCACATCACAGGTGGGAAAATGAGACCACACAAAGAGAAGGGACTTGCCCAGAGACACATTGGTCTGGAACATAATCTTCCTGCCTCCCAGCTCAAGGCTCTGTACCCTAGACCCATGGAACAGGGGAAGAGATGAAAAATGGGGACAGGCTGCTGTAGGATTGTCTCCATCTAGCCACCATCTCATGGTCCTCTGCCCTTAGACTCACCGGCTTTCCCTGGCGGCCAGGATCACCCAGAATCCCCCGTCTGCCAGGATGCCCCTGAAGGGAAGGAATGAACTCAGCAGGAGGTCTCTTCCCAAAAGCTTGCTTCTCCCTCTCAGAACAAGGGCTCTTACCTTTACTCCCTGCAGCCCTGGGGGCCCTTTCACACCAGCTGGACAGTTGGTTGGACACTGGAAAGAAAATCCAACAGGACCCCCAGGTAACTTGCCTGGCTCAGGCCAGCTGGTCAGTGCATCTCCATTTTGCCAACTCCTTAAACAGTTTCCCAGTTCACCTGGCTGAATCTCTACCACTGCCCCTCCTCACTACCCATAGACCCTATCTCCATGACACCCTCATCAGCCTTGTCCCAGACCCCACTTCTCACCAGGAAGTCAGCGCTGCCTTCTAGGCCCTGAATGGTTCCTGGGCGTCCCTAAGAGGAAATGTATGAAGATGGAACCTGAGCAGACCCTTTCCCACTCCAAGCCACTTCCCCAGGAGCAAATGGCCATGTGGGGGAGGGGAGTCTGAGGACACTAACCGGTTTCCCAGGGGGGCCTGGGGGCCCTGATGGTCCCTCTGGTCCTGGATCCCCCTGGAAGCAAAACAGGCCCAAATCATACTACCATCCAGTCTTCCCAGCTCCATCTTCTGGTTCCTGCCACTGCCCTGTCCACCCTGCCTTCCAAGACACTTCCTGAGAGTCATTACATGGGGAGATCAAGCAGATTGGCAGAGGATGGTACCAGCCCTTAACCTTCCTGAAAGTCGTGCTTCAGGGTAGACTCAGCAGGAAAAGTTTCTGCCCTAAACCTGGAGGACCGCCCCCCACAACCACCCCACTGGCTAGAGGCAGGTCCAGAAACTATCTGGAGTCCACCCAAGTTTGCCAGCCTGGAGACAGAGAGCAAGAGGCAGAGTGAGGCTGGGACTCACCTTGGGGCCTGGGATTCCAATCTCACCAGGGAGGCCAACAGGTCCTGGAGGTCCCTAGGGAGCAGAAATATGGCTGTCCAGGATGCCCCAGAGCATCAATCCATCCAGGGCAGGAAAGTAGGGATAAGCACCCAAGGCCCTTTCTCCACTATGACTTTTATCAACACCAGAGAGACTAACAGACTGGGGCTTGAAGGATCAAAAAATTTCATATACTTGATGTCTGCCCTGGAGTTCGTGGACAGGCACAGAGTGGGCTAGCAGCGTCTCCAAAGCCAGGCCATTCCTGGCACTATCATAGCATGCTGGCCCCTCCCCATGAAAACTATGCTAGAAGTCCTACTGTTGTCCCCTCCTTCTCTGGGAGTCCCGGGGACCCTGCTGCATCCCTGAGGACTTACAGGAGGTCCAGCAAAACCAGGGCCCTGGAACAGAAGAAAAGGAAATTGGGTTCATGGCTCTCTCTGCAGGTCCTTTCTACCCACAGAGGGTCCCTAGTAGCCCTTGCATATTGTACTTACTGGCAGGCCAGGGGGGCCTGGGAGCCCGGGTTGGCCCTGGAAGAACAATGGGAGAGGATTAGAGACTGGGTCTCTTGGGTCCCTGCTCCTTTCTACTGTAGCCTCTTCCAAACTCCAGGCCTAGGTTGCCCACACTGAGTCCCTAGCTACTTACCTTGACTCCAGGAGTCCCCACAGAACCAGGCTCCCCTTTGGCTCCAGTTACACCCTAGGGAAGAAAGAGAAGGTAGGACAACATGCTCCCTGACCTGGGGGAAAGAGAAGTTTCAGGGGACTCTCTTGACTGGACAGAGGCTTCCTTTCATCATACCCCATGAAGGCCTAGGGACCTTAACACACTTCCTTTCCCCTTTCCCTGGTTCCCTGGGAAGCTATGAAAAGAACAATTATCCTCTTTTAAAAAAATATTTATTTTTTAGGTGTAGATGGACATAACACAATGCCTTTATTTTCATGTGGTGCTGAGGATCAAACCTGGGTCCCGCCCATGCTAGACAAGTGCTCTACAGATGAGCCACAATCCCAGCCCCAATTATCCTCTTTTGAAAGAGGAGAAACTAAGGCCTGAAGACTTGCTGGCCTAGGTTTTATGTCTCCCAGTTTAGAAGTCTAGGAGACCTAGGAGCCTGTGCTGCCGATAAACTTGATGTCTGCCCTAAAGACTTTTCTGATCCTGAGTTTTCTTATCTGCAAATTGAGTTGATTATGTTTCCTATCTGGGATGGATGTGAGAACCAATGTGCTGGTAGAAGGCAATGTAATTGGTAATCTTTGTGGAGGTGTATACAAGTTGGGAGGGGCCCTGATAACCGGTCCCAGCCTTGGTCACACCTCTTGAGCCAGCAGGGCAGAGGCAACTCATGGGTGCCCCTCCTTCCTCCCATTCCGGTGACTGATCTAAATGTACCCCCCAGTAGATATCTGTCCTCTTCCCCTTGGGACTGGCTGTGTCTAGTATCCTATAGCTTTGGGGGCTCTTGGGAGCTCTGTGGTACCAACTAAATGATGTTCCTCTTCTGAGTTGTGCCTTGGATATTGGAGGGGATCCGGATGGATAAAGGAGGAAAGGGTATGGCACACAAGGTTAGCCCCACCTGGTGTATTCAGACTGATCCCCGGATGCCAGAAACGTGAGACTAAGTTCTGATACTGCAGACAAGCAGGAAAACTCTGAACCCTACAGAAAACAGAGCCCTTCTCTGGACCCCAGTTGGATTCAGTGGTGTGAGGTTCCAGTGAGCTCACAAGTCATATGAAGGTAAAGGGGAGGCTTACAGCTGAACATTCTCCATCCTGATGCCCACTCTGAACAGAAGATGAGCGAAGAAGCCAGAACCAGGCTCTGGAAGTCAATAGGCTGAGCCCTACCCTGCCCTGCCCAGTGTTCAGGTACTCACATCAATCCCAGGCTTCCCATCGGGCCCATCTGGCCCAGGTTTGCCAGGCTCTCCCTTGGATCCCTTAAAAATAGAGATGGAGCAAATATTAGCTAAAGGAGAGCAAGAACTGGGAGAATTAAAAGTGAGAATTCAAAAGCAAAAAAGCACTCACCGGAGGGCCAGCTTTCCCAGGGGGTCCCTTGTCACCCTGCAAGATTCAAGTTGATGAGACAACACTGACTCATGCTTCCCCAGTGAGCACCCCTGGTTGGCCAGTACCAAAGGCACATCTCCTCAAGCTCCTTTCTTCTGTTCTGAGTCCCCTCAGTCTGGTATTTTCTGGGAAAATAGCCCCCTTTTCCTCCAAGACATTTGTAGGTTCATTGAAACCAACCCCAGGYAGCTGGAGAGGGGGATATCCACATGCAGGGGGTTTAGTAATGCTGCTGTTGTTAAGGTGTCAGTTCTGAGGCCTGCAACTGGGCTGAGGGCTCTAAGGTAGCAGGGAGAGCTGACCCTCTAGGACTTGGGCAACTGTGGGGAAAAAGGGGGCAGGACTTTTAGAGAAGGTGGGGAGGAGTGAGGTGAGCTGCTGCTCCATTCTGGACTGTCAGATGAAACTAGAGGCTGGGGCAGGGGCAAGGASGAAGGGGGCCAAGAAGGGGTAGATCCAAAATGTTCCCAAGGAGGGAAGGACCTCTTTTCCAGTGACAAAGGACCTTTGGTGAAGACAGTCAGGGCCGGTGGAGTAAGATTCTGCCCCAGAGAGGCCCCCAGGCATTCCTGAGCCTGCAGTAGCTTGGGCCTGGCCGGGGCCCAACTCCCTGGGTTTGGGGGTGGGGACACCATGCTGAATAGAAGTCTGTCCAGACGGTAAACATAGAGCTGACCTCCTGGGGGAGCCCCCAGAATGAGGTTTTTAACCCTCACCATGCTAGGGAGGGCAGGGGAACAAGCCCAGATGATTCTAAATTGCGGAAGAAAAAAGGAAAGGGAAGAGACGGGAGTGTGGCCCCAGTTAGCGGGTCCGATCAAGGCTCCCAGTTATCCTGTAGAGGCGTCTAGGTGTGCCGGGGCGGCGCGAGAGGTTAGTCTCCTACTCCAAAAGGAGAGGAAAGGAAGGGAGGGGGATAAGGACTCGCTGTGAGCTGTGGTCGTCAGACCGAACAGCGCTCCCTTGTCTGAGGGCGGCTATAACGGGCTCTGCATTTCAGAACTGGGTTGAGKTTTCTGCGGAACAAACAGGCTCCTTGTGGTGCGGGTCGGTGCCGCCTACTGGCGACGGGGGGCACTACAACGTCAGACACATGCTCCCCCATCCCCACCCCATTTCCATCACTCATAAAGTTCTCCTTTGTCCGCCGCCTCCCTTCCCCCTTCCGTCCCAAGTTAGACTCACGTCGATGCCATCAGATCCAGGTACTCCTGGCGGCCCAGGAGGGCCTGGGGGCCCGGGCTCTCCCGGCGGTCCTCTCTGAAAACACAGGCAAGGGTGCAGCCCTCAGTGCAGGATGTTGGGCGTCCCAAGGATTGCAAACGACCCTGGGAGCCGTGTCCTAGTATCGTAACTCCCCTGGTAAAGGGAGCTAGCTCTTCAGGGAGCCACGAGCTCCTGTTTGTTTAGAGCCTACTATGCACTAGGTACTGTGTACCAACCATTACGTCGATTATCTTATTAAATGCTCAGAACTCTCCGGCGAATTCTATTAAGGGCCGCAATTTGACAGCGAAGAAACAGGCACAGAAAGATTAAAGGTTTGTGGACGATTCCTTCCMCTGTAACAAGTTGTCCTAGGGCTGTCTTAATGGGGAACAGATGGAGATGCTGGCGGCTCAAGTAAATCACGCATGACACGCATAGTGGTGCCTACCCGGACTTTGATCCTCAATGAATAGTAGCTCGTATTGTTACTTTTGGAGGAACAACAGGTATAGGAGGCGAATTGGCATCTCCTTCTCTCCCCTTGGTGCAAGTAAAACCCCATAGGAAAGTGGAGGAGGCACAGAGAAAGGAGACTTAGGGAGGGGAAGGTGTACTCTCTTCCCACTGGGAGCACCCTGATCTTTCTTCSTTGAAGTGCTCCTCTTACCCAGCAAGCCCTGACTTAGACAGGGGGTCCCACGCGTGCTAGGTGCYCATGCCCTCCCGGGGCCGGGAAGTGCCAGGATGGCGCACCGCAGGAGAGCTGCGACCCGTGCCGGCACCAGACAGCGCGGACTGTATCCTACCAGCGCAAGGGTCGCGTTAGGTGCCCGCACCCSCAGCCGACACTAGGAAACGAGGACCCGCGCGGGTGGGCAGGAGAAGCCTCAGCCCGGCGACAGCGGCGTCTGGCTGGAGCCGGCCCGCCCCGGGAGGTGGCGGGGGTGGAGGCTCTGTAGCCGGGTCAATGGGCAGCATTGTCTTCCCCGCCACCTGGGCTCCCTCGGCTGCCAGGACTGAGCGTCAGTTCCTGCCCTGCGCTGCCTGTCCCGGGCATCTTGGATCAGGGACCCTCGGGCTCCCCAGCTCATCCACTTTCTTTCACGAAGCCGCCCGCATAGAGGGGCCTGCGCCCTGGACTGTCTACCGCTGTCCCCTCGGGCCAGGGGGTGTCAGTAGAGGGTGGGAGACAGGCAAACTCCCGATCCTGAACCCTGGACCTCGAACCCAGGACCCCGCCACCGGAGCGACCGCGGAACTTACGATCTGAGCCAGGGCGAGCCCGAGCACCTGTAGGAGAATAAGGAGGCCGCGGGGGGCTGCCGCAGCGGCCATAACGCGCGGCGGGTTCTGGAGGATGGGTGCCGGTCCACGCACGCACTGGAGGCGAAGGCTGCTCTCAGACCCGGCGGGTGGGCCTCCGGAATATGCAGCGAGGCGGGGCGGGGTCTGGCGGGGTCTGTCACCTGAGAGCACCAGTGGAGGGAGGCGGGCGTCCTCCGCCCAGCTCCGCCCTGCTCCGTCYGGCCGTCGGTGCCCACCCCCACCGTTTTCCTGACCAGAGCTTGCCARGCCCCCAGGAGGGAGACAGGGTCTCCTTTCTCTGTGAGGAGGCAGAGAGGGTTGCTGGGAGACTCCTCCGGCCTGACCTTCAGGGCCAAGCATTTCGCCCCCGACCCGCAGTCCCATCATTTCCCCACCTCCCGGGCTGCCTCTGCTTGTGAGCCCCGGCCCCGGCCAGGTCCTCTCTCCTCCAGGACCCAGGCTTAGAGGCCTCGGGTTTTGCAGACTTTGCAGCAGGGTCTGAGCAGCCTCCATTCATCTTGCTACACTTCTGGGGGCTCTTTCCTCTCCACGGACAATCAAGCCTCTTACATACCAAAGTCCTTTCTAGATCAGCCACCTGGTGAATTTCTCCATCTGCTTCTTTCTTCCTCCTGCTTCATTGCCAACTCTTAAGAATGGTCTGTGCCCACCTCTAAACTTCCTTGGCTCCCTGTTTAGTCCCACCTGGGAGGTCACCAGTGAAGTTCAACCCTCTTTAGTCCTCCAGGGAGGAGGCAGTTGGCAACTCAAACGGCCCTTGACCATTCTGGCCTTCAAGCCTTCCTTGCCCAAGCTTCTGTCATTCAGCCCCCCCTTCTTCTACCATCATATCACTTAAGGATGAGGAYATATTCTAAGAAAAGTGTCATTAAGGGGCTGGGGTTATGGCTCAGCGGTAGAGCTCTCACCTCGCACGKGTAAGGCCCTGGGTTTGGTCCTCAAGACCACATAAAAATAAATACATAAATTCAGTTATTAAAAAAGAAAGAAAAGTGTCATTGAGATGATTTGGTCATTGTGCAAACACAGAATGTTAGTTACGTAAACTAAGACAGTAATAATGTCACTAGGCTATATGATCTTTTGAAACCACCTGTGTATATGAGGTCCATGATTGATCAACCTCTTTATGCTAGGCATGACTATTGCCTTACTATTCTGTAGCTCCCTTATGGTGTCTCCAGGACTGGGCCTTCTCATTCATCTTTTTTTTTTTTTTTTTGAGAGAGAGAATTTTAGTATTTATTTTTTAGTTCTCGGCGGACACAACATCTNTGCCACTGCACCTGGCTAAGATGTTGGCTTTTTATTGTCAATCTCTTCATGTCTTTGTGGACCCAATGCACAAAGTTCTCATAGAAGTTCTCTTTTTTGTGAGGAAGTTGTGGAAATTGGTTGGGCTTCAGATATGAAGAGCTCACATTGGTGCATGAATTCTCTTGCTGCATAATCAATCATTAAAAAATGTAGTAGCTTAAAATGACAATTTCTTGGATGAGGAACTCAGGAGTGGCTCTGCTGGTTGGTTCTGGCTTGGGGTTTTTGCCATGAGGTTACAGTCAGATGGTGGCTGGGGCTGGGTCATCTAGAAGGCATCTGCATTCACTAGACTAATGTCTTCTTGGGAAGTCTCCAATAGCTGGGTCTGAAATAGTTGGAGTCTTTTGGACGCTACTTTCTTTTAGCCCTCTGCAGGCTTTGTATGAGGTCTCTCTCACATGGTGACTTCAAGTGGCTGAAGCAGTTCAGAGAGAGAATGAGAGAATCAGATGCAAGAGATTCACCTCTTCATTCCCTTGGCCTGTCCTTAGAAACTCAATTCCTCCTTAGAAGTCATACAGTGTCACCTTCACCAGTTCTTTAGTTGAGGCAATTAAAAAGTTCTGTTCAGCTTTCAGGCAGGGGACCAGAACCCCACGTCTTTTTTTTTTTTTTTTTTTTGGTGGGGCTCCGGGGGATTGAATTTGGGCACTTCACCACTGAGCCACATCCCCAGTCCCCCTCATTCATCTTTGCCAAGTGATCTCTCCCACGTTCATGGAAACAATCATCGCTTTATTCAATGGCATTTCCAAAGCCTACCTGTGTAAAAGCCTCTGGGTTCTCTTCCCTTCCATTTACTTAACACTGGTAAAGTGCTTTGGAATCTGGCTCTGTCACCAACTGTAGGTATGACCATAGGCACCTCAAACAACATGTATGAAAGTCTTAGTGTTCTCATCTCTAAATTGGGAATAATAATAGTCCTTATCTTAAAGAGTTTGTGCAGATTGAATGAGATGTTGTATGGAGATGCTTAACTTAGCACCAACACATAGTGGGTATTGGTACATTTTAATTATGACTTATTGAGTATTCTATTTTTATCAAGATTGCAATTAGTGTGGGAAAACTGACCATAAGCAGATCAGCTAAAATGGTCAAGAAAAACAGCCTTTGGAAACTCTGCCCCACTCCAGCAGACAGGTTAGTCAAGGGCCTGTGCTTTGAAAGGTGGTCCCAGGATTGAGTTTGCCGGGAAACACTTTAGAGAATTTAACTGCTCTGCTTAACAGAGGGAGGAATAATTTAGAGAGTGTAAGAAGATGAAAGGAGGAAGTGGTGAGAGGGGTGAGGGAGGGATGGTGGACACTGCCAGGAGTCAGTGGGGTAATATATGTAAAGAACTTATAAA